CATCCAGACTTGGGACTGGCATGCAGAATGCCCTGGCTTGTGCAACCCTCCTGTCTGGATGTAGCCACAGCACCAGGTGGTCTCCCACAGAGATCACAAAGGCAGACAAGGAATGAATAACTGATTAGCTACACGGATTAACTGTGCCAATTCTAAATGTGTTGCACATCATTCTACATACATTTCCTGCACATTCAGTCTGGGATAGCTGGCATCTTTAGAAACGATCTACTAGTATTTACAGTTCTGTGAGTTTAAGCAATGTTTGGCTGCTCAGTATGAGTTATAATCACAGGCACAGCACTTATTAAGTAGCAAAACTTCAATATGTGTATCACAAGAGTAAATAATCATGTCTCCAAAGTGGCTACCTTTGTCACAAAATATTAGGGGCATTTTTAAAATCACTTTAAAGTCACAAAATAAGCTTTTTGATAACACTATGGCTCAAATACACTTTATGTGTTGTTCAAAATATGCTGTAAATTACATTTTAAAGACTTACCAATAAAGCATGTTTCTGTCAGTATTACATTTCAGCTTTTTCATCAGCATAATTGCACCAAATGGCTTTTTCAATAAAAGGAATACTTGTGCTGTTTTAGCTTAGGGGCAAAAATGCTTTATGAAATAGCTCCAAACTCAATTCAAACAGAGGTTAAGTTTGAAAGCCAGAAAAAAAAGAGCCAAAAAAAAGGCCACGAAAACTCATTAGAGGGAAACCATGGAGTGGATTCATCACAATGAACGACACCTTTCACATTACACAAGGCATTTGATACATTGTTAATACCAACACATTCACTGACAATGATTAAGTTTGTAAAGATTCCCTATTCAGTTCCATAAATATCAGTGTATTGACTTATTGAAATGATTACAATTGTTAAAGCATAACTTAAACCTTTGCATAAATTTCCAGAGCTGCAGTGTATCCGTGCAGCAGCACACACAAGAAATGTGGAACCAAAATGTCTTCATGAACAGATTTCTCCAGAGGCCTGAAGGACTGACCGGGGGATATTTATTTCTCAAGCAGAGGACATTTACAAAAGGAAAAGACGTATTCAGTAGTTTAAAATGTCCCTCTCTGAGAATTACCGCTTCAATAAATTTTTAACTATATCTTCATCTTTACACCCATCCTTCTTTTTATTATTGCCCATGTTTTTTTCTGTGTGATGTCCACTGCTGCTGACATTTCTGGATGTCTGTCTGTCCTGTAGCAGTCTTTCAGACATTTTCTCCCCACAGCTCACGTTATCTGCCTCATGTTCACCCTACCTCCCATTTACTCCCCTCACTGCACACTCTCCCGTGGTGACATTAGGTCCATCAGGGGCTTTCTGACACTGTTCTCACTCTGTGTTTGGTAGGCCATTTGTTACAGTTAAACACTTTCTGCTTTTGTCTCTCTCTTTCAAACACACACACAGATACGCACACTCACACACAGTAACTCACACAGTATCCACTAGCTCACTGACCTTATCTCCTCAGTGACTCTTTCCAGAACTAATGTTGGTGGCAGCTCATTTCAGCACTGACACTGTTCACCCTAGCAGCTGTCTCACATGCGGGTTTCACATTATTGTCCAAATAAACACATGTTAATGTCAAATTAAAACAAAAACACAGCGAGGGTGGAAATCATCACACATGCCATTTTTGGGCAGTGACATTTGAAAGGATGATTGGAAACTGCAGAATCTTTATTACAGCATTTTAAATATATATATATTATATATATTGCATACATCTCCAAAGGTGGTTGAGAATGACCAAGCTAAGATCCTGTGATAAGCTAAGATACAAACTGACAAACTGGTAATGGCCAACCAACCGGACATAGTAGTGGTGGACAAACAGAGGAAGAAGGCCGTAGTGATAGATGTAGCAATCCAAAGCGATAGC